CCGCCCCCCGGTCGGCACCCGCCCGGCCTCCCCTCAACGGCCTCTCTCGGCCCCGCGGCCGGGCCTGGCCCCGCTCATGCTTCCCCTCGTTGCAGGTGCCGGCCCCGAAGCAGCCGCGCCGGTGCCGGCGGGACCGCAGGTGAGCGGTGTGGGGCTGGGGGCCGGGCCGGGGACCGGCGTGGGGTGTGACGGTGTGTGCCCGCAGGCCCCCGAGCTCTCCCGGGAGGAGAAGCTGCAGCTGCGGAAGGAGAAGAAGCAGCAGAAGAAGAAGAAGAGGAGCGAGAAGGGCGGGGCGGCCGAGACCCCTGAGCTGGGGACCCCCTGCGACCCAGGGGCACCAAGGGGTGAGCACCTCCTTCCCCCGAGGCAGCCCCCTAGGCTGGAGACCCCCCCAGCAGACCCCCCAGCACACCGAGCAGGGGCAGCCCCGTGGTGAGACCCCTCGTGGGGAACACCCTTCTTGCTGGAGCGTCCCTGAGCCGGGAGCATCCTCCTGTCAGGGGAGGCCATGGGGGGAACTCCCGAGTGTCCCACCTCTCTGCCTCAGGCACCTGTGTCCTGCGGGGACTGAGATCTAGAGAGGCCAGTCCCCTCCCCACCTGGACGTGGGGCTGCCGTGGTGGTCCCCATGTCAGCTGTGCAGGGGTGGTAAGGTGCTGGAGAACATGGGGCTTAGCCCCCCCGCCCCTCCAAATGCAGAGGGTCTCCCTGCCACGGGCTGCCCCACACACCGGGCTGTATCTCCTGGTGAAGGAGGCTGGGCACAGACTTCTCCCTTCCGTCTCCTGCAATGGCCACTCACCCCACGTCCCCCCCAGCCTTGGCCGACGGCCCCAACGATGGCGAGAAGGCCACAGGGGGCAAGAGCAAAGCTGAGCTGCGAGCCGAGCGGCGGGCCAAGCAGGAGGCGGAGCGGGCCCAGAAGCAGGCCAAGAAAGCAGAGCTGAGCCAGGCAGCCACGGTGGCCAAGCCCAGGCTGACCCCCACCGAGCCACAATCTGGTAAAGCCATCGTCACCAGGGGCTGGGTGAGCGGGGAGGGGGCTGCAGGGGGGTGGCACCACCTCACATCCCCCTCCCCGCTGTCCTCACAGTGGTGAAGCGGCTGCCAGAGCACGTGCAGGTGGATGACCCGGCTGCCCAGAGGAAACTGGCCAAGAAGCTGGAGCGGCAGCAGGTAGGAGGACGGCTGGGTGACAGGCTGCATGCTCCAGGGCGGCTGTGGGGGTCAGCCTGAGCGTGTGGTGGGACCAGGGCCAGCTCTCTGGGGTGCCACAAGCGAGCACTGGGTGTGATGGGTGGTGCTGGAGCGAGCAGGGCTGTATGGTGGCCTTGGTAAGCCATCGTTAGGTTGATGGGTGGACCAGATGATCTATCTGAAAGGTCCCTTCCAATCTAGGCAATTCTGTGATCATCAACACTGTTTGGCTACAGGTTCCTCTGAGGCAGGACTATGGCACCAAGGTCAACCTGTTCTCCCACTTGCACCAGTACAGCCGGAAGAAGCCACTGACGCAGCAGATGAGGTACGTGGCCTCCCCAGCCCAGGCCCCTGGCCATCATTTGGCTCTGCTTCAGCTGGCTTGGCTGCAAAATGGCCCTAGTGAACGGGTGTCCTGGTCTTGCGTATGGGACAGGCGTGATGGGGTGCAGGGGGGCCCCTTCGCTCGCTTCGAGGAGTGGTGGCAGGGGCGGATGGATGTCCTAGTGTGGGGTGAGGAGAGCTGCCCTCGGGCAGCGCACGGCCACAGGAGAAGGGGCTGTAGGGTCTGGGCTGATGGCTCCCTTCTTGGGCCATCCCAGGTTGTTTGGCTGGTGGCCTGGCAATGGGGTTGGTCGTTCTGGGCTGTAGAGGGCCAGTGCTCACAGCTCCCTTGTGTTTCTCCCTGCAGCATCCCCTCCACAGTAATTCACCCGGCTGTGGTGCGCCTGGGCCTCCAGTACTCCCAGGGCATCATCAATGGCTCCAACGCCCGCTGCATTGCCCTGCTGGAAGTCTTCAAACAGGTACGTGAGCAGCTACCCGTGCCCACCGGGCAGCGAGGGCACCAGGCACAGCCATCCCTTCCTCTCCATCGACTGCTGGGGCTGTATCTGCGCTCAGTCATCTTCAGCCTGCTCCCTCTGACCATGCCCAGGGCTGGGCCCCGCTAGTACCCTCTTCTGGGACTGGTGGGGCAGATTTGAGCTCCTGGAGCTCCCCTTTGCCCCCCTGGGAACAGGTGTCAAGCTTAGCTGGTTTAGTGATGTTTTTTGTCAGTGTTCTGTTGATGGTTGGGCTAGATGATCTGAAAGGGAGTGTCAAGCTTAGCGATGTGGTTTAGTGATGTTTCTTGTCAGTGTTATGTTGATGGTTGGGCTAGATGATCTGAAAGGTGCCTTCCACCCTAGACAATTCTGTGATTCTAAGCTGGGTGGTACATGCTTGTGCCTGGTCTGCAGCCTCCTGGGCAAGTGCCTGCCGAGGGGCAGGTGCCCTGAGCTCGTGCCCTCTTCCTCCCTGTCTCAGCTGATCCGGGATTACTCGACTCCCCCCAACGAGGAGCTGTCGCGGGACCTGGTGGCCAAGCTGAAGCCCCACATCAGGTGAGGCTTCTCCCGGTGCCCGAGCAGAGGGACTGAAGCTCCAATGGGCATGGTCCATCGGTCACCGCTCCGGGTTGGTGCCCACCCAAACTCAGGCTGGCTTTTCTGGGTCTCTGGGTCTCTGGGACTCTCCCTGCCCAGCACCCCCAGCCCAGCTGCACCCTCCCTCTTCCCTTCCCTGCTCTCCAGCCTGCTCTGGATCTGAGCCCGTTTCCTCTCTGCAGCTTTCTGAACCAGTGCCGGCCCCTCTCAGCCAGCATGGGCAACGCCATTAAGTTCCTCAAGAAGGAGATTTCATGCCTCCCTGACACCCTGCGGGAGGAGGAGGTGAGTGGCCTCGGGCCAGCAGCAGGCTCTGGGGTGGAGGGACAGCCCTGGCACAGGGAGCAGGGCGAGGTGGTGGGATGCAGAATGGGAGCAGTGCTGCAGAGGAGCTGGGAGACTTGGCCATCAGTGTCGCCACCCCCCAAAAGGGGCTGGGGTGCACCACAGCAAACACTGGGCTGTCAGTGTCGCTGGGCTGGGAGGACTGGAGGTCCTCAGAAGCTCCAAATGTAAAAGGGGGAGAAGCTGCAGTGGCCACACACGGTCTCAGTGAACATAGGGCACCATGAGCCGCCCCTGCCCACTGGGACCTCCTGTGAGAGCATCGACAGTGTCAGTAAAGTCACAGATGAAGAAGGATGTGTTTTTCAAGTGCTCAGCTACGTCCCATGGAAAAAAGCTCCACCGGAGCCCGTCGCTGTGGAGCACGGGGCAGGGTGGCAGTGTCAGGAGGGACCCTGAGGCTGGGTGGGCAGTGGGCAGTGGGCTGCCGGGAGTCAGGCTGGAGGGTCTGAGCAGCAAAACCTCCATGGGAGGACCGGTGCGGCTGCCCCAGGAGATGGTGGGGAGACAGTGGGCAGAGCTGGGGAGGGTCTGGTGGCAGCTCGGAGACCTGGTGAGGCACTGTGGTGTGCTGGGAGGCCTGTGCAGGGACAGGAGTGTCCCTGTGTTTCCCACAGAGTCCCAGGGGAAGGTGTCACGCAGCAAACGGGGTGGCCGGGCGCAGGGCTCTGTGCGCAGGCAGAGCCGAGCCCACGGTCCTGCTGGGCTGTGAGGGACAGCAGAGCAGGGGCCACGCTGCACGTGATGGCACTGTCTCCCCAGGCGAAGGAGAAGCTGCAGGACACCATCGACAAATACTTACGGGAGAAGATTGTTTTAGCAGCTGAAGCCATTTCGAGATCCGCCTTTGAGAAGATAAATGACAACGATGTGATCCTGGTGTACGGATGGTAAGAGCAGAGGGGCTGGGGCAGAAAGCAGAGGTGGGGAATGGAGCCGGAGGCCGCTGGGGCCAGAGTTGGGGTGCAATGTGAGTCCTGGGTGGTCGGTGGAGGAAGGACTGGGGTCCAGTGTGGGTCTGGAGTGTTACTGGGGGGAGACTTGGAGGGGGATCCCTCGCTGTGGTTGCAGACGGGTGGGGGTCGGTGCTGCTTGCGGGCAGGGCTGAGACGTGGCTTTTCCCAGGGGGTGATTCTCTGAGCGAAGACGGGGAGAGGCAGGCGGCGTAGCAGGAGGGGGTCTGGTCGGGGCAGCCCTGGTAATGGTGAGGGTGGACCCCAGCTCTGCCCGGGCTCGTCTCCAGGCAGCACCAGCCCTTCAGGGTCTCGGTAGGAGCTCAGCTCCTGCCCTGGGTAGGAGATGTTGCTCTGTTGGGGCTGGATGTGCCCGGGGACCTGCCATGGCAGCCGGCCCCTGCTGCCGGGCACCTGTCCGGGCTGTCCCTGGGGTGAGACCCCCGTGCTAACGCTCGGGAAACCTCCTGCCCGGCCGGCTCCTGACGAGTCCCGCGCCGGAGCCAGCACTGAGGGAGGTGTCCTGGCCCCGGGCTGTGTTTGTGGGTGATGCTGGTGGGACGGGGCAGCCTCCTAACGAGTGTCCGACAGCTCTTCCCTGGTGAACCGCACGCTGTGCGACGCACACGTGAAGAAGGGCCGGGCTTTCCGTGTGATCGTGGTGGACAGCCGGCCGCGGCTGGAGGGCCGGGAGACGCTGCGCCGGCTGGTGCGAAAGGGCATTCACTGCACCTACGTGATGATCAACGCCATCTCCTACGTGCTGCCCGAGGTGAGGAGCGGAGCGGGGCTGTGCCGGGGGCGGTGGCGGGCACGGGGGAGGCTGCGGCCTGGAAAAGGTGCCAACAGACCCCCGCGCTTCCCTGACAGGTCTCCAAAGTGCTGCTGGGAGCCCACGCGCTCCTGGCCAACGGCTCTGTCATGTCCCGGGTGGGGACGTCCCAGATAGCCCTGGTCTCCAAGGCCTACAACGTGCCCGTCCTAGTGTGCTGCGAGACCTACAAGTTCTGCGAGAGAGTGCAGACAGACTCTTTCGTCTCCAACGAGCTGGGTGAGGCTCCTGTCCCCTTCCTCCCTCCGGGGACCTGCTCCCTCTCCCCGCTGCCGGCCAGGACGGACTGATCTGCCCGGCCATTCCCCTTCCTGGCCGAGGGGCTGCCACTCGCAGGAGGGGTGGCCTGGCGAGCAGTGGTCCTGTGTGCTCACAGGACAGGATGGAGAGGTGCCCTCCCTCCCCCTCATCCTGCCGGCTGCTCCTCTCTCCGCAGATGATCCCGACGACCTGATCGTGCTGCGGAAGGGCCAGGCCCAGCTTGGGGGCTGGGCAGAGAACAAGTCCTTGCGCCTCCTCAACCTGGTCTATGACGTGACGCCGCCTGACCTGGTGGACCTGGTCATCACGGACTTGGGCATGATCCCCTGCACCTCGGTGCCCGTCGTCCTGCGTGTCAAGAACGTGGATCAGTAGGGGAGGCAGCTGCACAGACCCCAATAAACCTGGCCCCACGATACACCTTGTCTGCCTTCTGTGGGGTGGCAGGAGCCCGGGCGGCCCGTGTCACCAGCTCTGCCCTCTCCTTGGGCACGCTGGCACTTGTGCCCACTCTGCCCAGCCCCTCGCCTCCCACTCCAGGCTGCAGCAGGGATGCATCCTCCCTGTCCCTGGGCCCGCACCTGGCAGAGATGGTGGCACTGGTGACAGCCTCTGGCCGGTGTCTCCTCAGGCTGTGGCTCGAGCTGAGCTTGGGGGCGGCCGGGCAGCTCTGACTCCCTGCAGCACCGGGGTGTCCCAGGGCTGCTCCCACCATCACTCCTCCTGCAAGATGGGCCCCGTGCAGGGCCCGCCCCGAGCCGGGGACGGGGTGCCCTCCCTTCTGCCGCGTCCCTGTCCCTTCCTGCCACCCGGGGTGGCCGTGGGCTGTGTGTGCCCCCCCTGCGGCCTGTCAGCGCCGGTGCCCGGCGTGTGCCCAGCGCGGGGGGAGCGGGTGGACAGCGGCCCGTGGTTATGGCCTGTGCCTGGAACGGGGGGTTCTCACACGGGTCCGCCGGTACAAGCCCCGGGGCCGGTGAGCCCGGGATCCCCGAGCCCAGCAGGAGCCCGGCCGGGCTGAGCAGGGACCTCCTCCTGGGGCTGGGGCAGGAGGGGACGCGCTCGGTGAGCGGTGTCCGGAGAGGCAGGGACACGCCGCGGCGCGGCCATCAGCCCGGTGGCTTCGCTGCGGCTCTGCCGTGCCGTCCCGGGATCGTGGGGACGGAGAAACGGCTGGGAGAGGCGCAGAGAGGCCCCGGGAGCGGAGCGTCCTCCGCAGGGAGGAAACAGCAAGGGACGCTCTCCCCGGGGGACCGGGGACGGGTCCGCGTGTCCTCGGGCACCGGAGCCCCCCGCCCCGCGCTGTCCCCTCTGCAATGGCCATGCTGGGGCCCGGCGCCGCGGGGCCGGACATTTCCCTCGGTGCCGTCCCGGGACAGCGCCGCTGGTTCCTCAGGGCCCCCCCGGTTCCGGCAGCGCGGGCTCCGCTGCCCGTTCCCGCTCGGTTGTGGGTCTGGGGGCGCGGCGGGGGCTGCGCGTTTCTCCCGGGAGCGGCGGGAGCGGGGATCGAACCCGCGAACTGCCGGAGCGACAGGGGGCGGGGCCATGTGGAGCGCGCCGCGGCCGGCAGAGCGGCTCCGGGGCCCGACGGGGGCGTGTCCAAGGTGCGTCGGGGGCGTGTCCATGCAGATGAGAGCCAGCCCGCCGCGCATGACGGGAGCCCGTCCCGACGGGCCGGCGGCGGTTGCGGGGGCAGGCGGGCGGTGCGGGGGTCGCAGGCGGCGGGAGCGGGCGGGGGGCGAGAGGCGGTTTGGGCGCGTGTGTGTTTGTGGGGGGGCGTGTGTTGGTGTCCGTGTGTTGTGTGTGTGTGCGTGCGGTTGTGGTGTTGTGCGTGGGGGTATGTATGCATACTTACCTGGCAGGGGAGACACCATGATCAGGCAGGTGGTTTTCCCAGGGCGAGGCTCATCCCCTGCACTCCGGGTGTGCTGACCCCTGCGATTTCCCCAAATGCGGGAAACTCGACTGCATAATTTGTGGTAGTGGGGGACTGCGTTCGCGCTCTCCCCTGGTCACGGCGGTTTAATGACAGAAAGAACACGGAAACACCGGGGGCTGCGCGTTTCTCCCGGGAGCGGCGGGAGCGGGGATCGAACCCGCGAACTGCCGGAGCGCCAGGGGGCGGGGCCATGTGGAGCGCGCCGCGGCCGGCAGAGCGGCTCCGGGGCCCGACGGGGGCGTGTCCAAGGTGCGTCGGGGGCGTGTCCATGCAGATGAGAGCCAGCCCGCCGCGCATGACGGGAGCCCGTCCCGACGGGCCGGCGGCGGTTGCGGGGGCAGGCGGGCGGTGCGGGGGTCGCAGGCGGCGGGAGCGGGCGGGGGGCGAGAGGCGGTTTGGGCGCGTGTGTGTTTGTGGGGGGGCGTGTGTTGGTGTCCGTGTGTTGTGTGTGTGTGCGTGCGGTTGTGGTGTTGTGCGTGGGGGTATGTATGCATACTTACCTGGCAGGGGAGACACCATGATCAGGCAGGTGGTTTTCCCAGGGCGAGGCTCATCCCCTGCACTCCGGGTGTGCTGACCCCTGCGATTTCCCCAAATGCGGGAAACTCGACTGCATAATTTGTGGTAGTGGGGGACTGCGTTCGCGCTCTCCCCTGGTCAGCGTGGTTTAATGATAGATACAATGTTTCTGTTTACTTTGGTGTCCCGGTGTTCTGACGGAGCTCGTGCCTGGGACGATTTGCCCAGCTAATTTGCGGTTTCCACACAGATTTCTACACTCAGGATCCCAGACTCTCACTTCACGGGTCCGAGCACCCGCTCCAGCAGGACCCGCTGTCTCTCCTGGGCGTTGAGGGCCTGTGTCCAAAGGGGAAGCCCCAAGTGACCAAGGACATCCCCCCCCCCC